GGGCTTTGCTTTCTCGTCAGTGCACATATCCCTACTGACTGAAAATATCTCATTTTAGGCAAGGCTATTTGTTAAATGGTTGGTGACATAGTGGTTACGCGTTGGACTGCTAACTGCAAGGTCAGCAGTTTGAAACCACCAGCCGCTCCTTGGGAAAAAGATGAGGCTTTCTACTTATCTTTAGAATTAGAGCCTCAGAAACCCACAGGGGCAGTTCTCCTTTGTCCTATAGGGTCAGTGTGAGTCGGAATCAACTGGGTGGTAGTGAGGTAGCTTTGTTGTTGTTGTTGATGTTATTGTTGTTGAATGGACAGTCCCATAGCCTTTCCACTGTAAGCCCGTGGTGGTCTTGCACCATGGGTTTTGATGTTTGCCCCTGTGCTTACTACATGCCTGGTGCTTAATATACCGGCCTCACTTGTCGAGTGAACGAAGGGGGTGCATGAATGGATGATGTCGCGGGTAGGTGTATCAGTTACCTTGTGCTAGAGTAATGCATGGCCACAAACTCAGCCGCTTAAAACATAGTTTGTCTCAAAGTTTCCGAGGGTCAGGCGGCCAGGGCACAGTACAGCTGGCTCCTTGGGCTTCGTGCCTCTCAGTTGAGGTGTTGGCCAGGGCTATAGTCCCACCTGAAGGCCCTTGTGAGGACCTTAACCTCTTCAAAACGGCAAAGCACATAAGCTAAGCCAAAGTTCTTTTCTCTCCCACCATGTCTCAAGACTGCGGAGTTCCTGTGTGGTTTAGGGCGAGTTCTGGTTCTGTGGGTTACTGGCCTGCCTTGAGGTGCTGTTGAGTGACTTCTCTGTCCCAGGCCTTCTTAGGGTTTATAGAACAAAATGCCCATGCGAATTTGCCTGGATGTTTATACAGACAGTTGGCCTTGATAATCATATTCGGCCTCTGGCATGTTGACTCATGATCTCCACCCCACCCCCTTGTAACAAGGCTTACATTTTCTCTTTTATGACTATTTCTCTTTCATTTCAACAAGCACCCTTCCCCAACAAGCCCCAGACTCCACCTTGGAGCCTCCTGCTCAGGCCTGCTCCGCCTAGCCCTGCAGCCCAGCCAGGTGGGAGCTCAGTCTGAGCCAGCTGTTGAGCCAGATCAGGTCCCAACACTGCCACTTTGTCATTATTCACTGAGCACTTGCTGTGTGCCCGGCCCTGGGCCAAGGGCTGTCTGGGATACGGGGTATGGCCCAGGGGGCAGTGCAGGGAATTTTACCATTCCAAAATTCAATTGTGACTCCCAGCGATCCTATAGGGCAGGGGAGCTCGGCCCCTGTGGGTTCAGGAACCATAACTTTACAGGACTGGGGTGCTTCGTGTTTGTCCTGCAGAGTGGCTGGTTGGTTCGGGCTGCTGACCTTGGCGTAACCCAGGGGTCCTCAAACTATGGCCCGTGGGCCACATGCAGCCCGCCAAGGACATTTATCCGGCCCGCCAGGTGTTTTTGTTGCTGCTGCCTGTCCTGCTTAGCAGTCGACTCGTCCAGTGTTCATAGTTTTTTTTAAACTGTAGTCCGGCCCTCCAACAGTCTGAGGGACAGTGAACTGGTCCCCTGTTTAAAACGTTTGAGGACCCCTGGTGTAACCCATTAGCCTACCAGGGCTCCTGAGGGAGGTGTTGGGAGGAGTAGTTCGTAATGTTCGTAAGAAGATCTTAAAAGAACACAAGGCTCAAAACAGACATTCTTCCTCTGCATGTGGGATCAAAGTGACAAGAGCAATCCGAGACAAGAGAGGACACAGGGGACAGGGAGTTGGTGTCAATGGAAGAGGAACAATTCATACACAGAGATGGATCAACACAGCCCACAGAAGGGAATTCGTGTCACCCAATTATCCATTAGAAACGGTCGGCTTGGTGCGTGCCCCACTGTGTGTATTCTCAGCACCAACTACAACTACAAAAGATGAAAATAAGAAGTCATTTGGGGGGAGTGATTGGGAAATCAACGATACGCGATCAAATCATATTCAATATCAAATGCTAAAGCAATAAATTATTGTTTCAAATCACGCTTGTGAAGCACCACAGAGACAGAGCTTAAACTGATCTGTGGGATTACCAGTCAGTTAAGACGTGGGGAAAAGGAGGGTGGGGTGGGGTGGGGTGGGGAGAAACAGAAAAGGGACCGGGTTCATTCTGCCCCCAGGTCCCAGAGGCAGGAGACACAGCACACCACGACATGGGTAGTACAGTGGCTGCACCTGGGAACACCAAGCAGGAATTGTAGGAGAGGGTTTGTGTACGGCATGCAGGGCGGACTTAGGGAGACTGCCTGGAGTTTTCTGGGAATTGGCATTTGGACTGATTCTGCAGACTCAGGGAGCAGATGGCTGTTGGGAGCCTGTCCCCGGGGAGATTAGGACAGGTACACAGTGACTCAGGAGTGTGAGAATCTGATAAGGGGTGTGGTTGGGGAATGTACCTAGTAAATTGTTCAATAAGGAAAAAGGACAGGCCTCCAGAGAGGATCTGAAAACTGCATCAAGGCAGCATTTAAGACAGCCTGGGCCATGGCTGTGCTCTGCAAATAGTACTCGAAGCTAGAGCTGTCCCCCACTCTGGTTTCCTGCTGTTTCAGGCTACAGCGATGTCCAGGTGCGGTCAGCGCCTGCTCAGCCTCTCCGAAGCCACTGAACCCCGAGGTCCCTGCTTTCCCTTCCATTTCCCATTAAATGAGAGGAATGAGTCATCTCGCGTGCACTCAGCAACCAGGAATGAAGAGAAAGGTGTTGACCTTGAGCTAATGCTGGATGCAAATGCTCTCTCTCGCTGCCACTCCCAGCCAGCCACCATTCTTCTGTGCTCTGCCCTCGAGCTCGCATTCTGTGTGCACTGCTTATATGACATGGCGCTTCTAGAAATTCTAGGCCTGGTGTCTACTCTAATCCCGGACAACCACATGGAAGTTTAGGTTTGATCTGACAGCAGGGATTACAACCGATATGAAGGAAGAAAGGGAAAAAGAAGGGGCACCTAGTACAGGCACCATACTGAGGGCTCGCACATTCTTTCGATCCTGACAGCAACCCTGGGAAGGAGGGTTCTGGGCAGTGAAAGGATTGCCGAGGCTCAGTGTTGTGAAGGGCGGAGCCAAGATGCAAACTCACTCCTCGAATGCTCCAGTGCAGACCTCATTTCACATCGCCCCCAGAGATCCGACCACTCTGCCTTTCCGCAGCGTATTAAAGTTTAACTCTACATGCTAACTCCTGGTTTCTTCGCCTTCCGCTTTTTCTCACACAGGTTGTAGACCTCAGCGGCAATGCCCTGACCAAGACCCTCCCCATGATGGCCATCGCGCTAGAGCTTCCCCATCTGGAGGTGGACTTGGCAGACAACCAATGGCAGTGTGACTCTCGCGTGGCGGTCTTCCAAGACTTCATCTCTCAGTCCTGGAGGAAAACGTGGAATGAACTTTGCGAGTCTACAGGTAAGTCAGCAGAACCTCTTCACTCTCTGAAGAGTTCAATTTGAATGGAAAAAGGCAGACAAGAAGATCAGTCTCTGTTCAAAGAGTGACCACGCCAAAGGCACACCAATTGCTGTCAAGTCCATGCCAGCTCAGGGCCTTTCATCCTGATTCTATGCTAATAATGAGTCAAACTAGTAAGTGTGACCCCACCTATCTACTTATTTCAAAACTTGTGTGTGTGTGTGTGTGTGTGTATTGATCATTGTCACTCCCCCAAATTATAAGAATGGGTTAATGGTGTTGAATTAACACATAAGATTCTGTAATATATATTTCTTTCTTTCTCGAATGTCTTGGCTAAATCTCAAACTCCTTACTGAAAACCAAGGAGAGGGAGTTAGTTTGCTTCATCTTATTGCCTAAATGAACCCTGGACGTTGTTCTATGCAGGGCAGAGGTGGAAGTAGAAAAGTGGGCATGCCTCTAGGTTGAGAAGAAACGCAGAGAGAAGATTCATGATGGCCATGTTTGCTTCGTTCTGTTGTAAATGTCACGGCAGGCACTTGGAATTACAAATGATTGTGAAAGACAGTTGGCAACTAGTAGAGAAACTTAGATGTTTGGGGTTTTCCCCACACTAGAGAATGGAGAGGAACTCACATTGCAAACACAAGGCAGATTTTGCAGGGGGCTGATGGAATGTTCTCACAGGCGTGACCAGCCCTTGCCCCTCTGTCTTCTTTTCCCCAGTGGGCAGCAGGCAGGCAGGAAGCCTAGGAAATGGACACCCTCTCCGGCCTTGTTGTCATTGCCCTGGAGTGGCTTCCAGGTTTCTTGTAGAGCACCCAATGGGTGAGGCCACACAGGGATTCTCCATGCCCGATTGAAGAAATGAAAGCAAAACACAGCGAGCCCATTGTCCACGGGTTGATGCTGACCCATCCAAGCCAGTAGGACAGAGAAGAACTTCCCCAAAGGGTGTTTAAGGCCATACAGCTTTATAGGAAAGGACTGTCTCCTCTTTTCTTAGGAAGCAGTTGGAGGGGTTGAACTACCAACCTTTTGGTTAGCAGCTGAATGCTTAACCATTGAGGCATCAGGGCTCCTTCTAAGCCACTAGTAAATGTGTGACAAGCCATAGACAGGCTGTTGGCTTTGCACTAAAAACAAGAGTGGTCTGCATGCTGGAACACGGACTACGCATATGGAATCAGCACAATATAGCTAGATAAGGGCGGAGAAGGACTCCAGAAGCTTTCTCAACCCTCGGCGTGGCATTTTAAGGAGCCCCGGTGGCACGGTGGGTGACGCATTGGGCTGCAAGCCATAGAACTTTTGCTGCTGTTCAGATTTACAACCTCAGAAACCCACAGGGGGTGGGGGTGGAGGGGCCAGTTCCTCTCTGTCCTGACAGGCTCACTCTGAGTCCAGATCCGCTCCATAGCAGAGGGTGTGGGATTTGGGTTTGGGTTTTAGAGTGGTGTCTCAATGCCTACTCGTGTTCTATCCCTCTGCTTTCAGGGAACGAGGCGGCGTCTTCGTGGATTCCCAAGAGCAGAATCTCAAGGGAAACGCCCCTTGCCCACACCAAGGGCAATCACACGAAAAGACTCCCTGAAGGCCGAGCAAGGCAGCCCCAGGAAGGACCGTACTTGGGCTTCTCCACTCCTGGGAAGCAGCGGCACGTCAGCGCTGTTATCAATGAGCAGAGACGGATGCCAAGAAGGGTGAGGAACACCCGCGACATTCAAACCCTTGCAAGGGCAGAGGGCTCAAACGCTTCTTCCCAGGACCTCACCCTGGCCATCTGCCTGTCGGTGTTCATCACCTTCTTTCTAGCCTTCTGCCTGGGCGCCCTGGCCAGGCCTTACATCGACAGACTATGGCAACAGAGAGGCCGAGACAAAAGCCCAAATCCAAAACATACCTATGCAAATGAAGGCTTCTACGATGAAATCGAAGCTGCGGGGACCGGGCAGCCCCGTGCCACGTTTCCCAACCAAGTGTTTCAAAACGTAAACCTCTATGAGAACCAGGACGCGTTCTCAGCCATGCCAAGGCCACGCTCTGCCGTCTCTCACGCCCCAGAAAGGGGCAGCGTGGAGCCTGAGGGCCGCCCGAGGCCTACAAGGTGGGACAACAACTCAGAGGCAGGAGCCAGCGCAGCCCGGGTCACTCTGCACAGACCCCCAGGTGCTGACACTCACCAGCCAACCCCCGAAGGGCACAGCCAGGCCTATGGGAACGATACCCCCAGCGAGTTACATTACGACACAGTGGCCCAGGACGAGTCTTTCAGTGAGCACTGGGCGAGCATCGCTTCAAGAGCTCGAAGATTACACGGTGTCTCTGGCTCGGTCTCGAATGCTTCCAGTGAGTTAAACCCGCCACCCTCCAGAGAAATGACCGCCTCCTTCACTGCAATGTTACCACGCCCCGAGATCCAGTGGACGGGAGAGAACGAGCGAAGAGCGGGAGATGAACCTTCTGGACCTCCAGGCTCTCCGCTGGAATTCCCGAAGGAAACACAAAGGAGGACCTATGTGAATGTCCAGCGTGTCCAGGAGGCAGAGCCTTCGGCCTACTCCAGCGTGGTCATATTTCCTGATCAGGGACACACGGACCCCCTGGCCTTCCCTCCAAGACGGAGCAGTAGCCTGGATGCCCCTCCTGCCGGCAAGCAGCCACTTCAGAACGATGTGCCCTCGGAGACTCAGTGTGTGTTTGGGAGCGAGTCCGATTCTGAGGAAGGGTCTCTGTTTACTCTAAGCTCAGTAAGCACAGAAGGGCGGAGCACTGCGAGCGAAGAGGAGGAGCACGGTGAGGAGAGCCAGCGGGCCAGCGGGTCACCGGCGAATGAGAACTCGGGGCAAAGCATGGACGCCACTGGCTCACAAGAGAACCTTGAAGACCAGATCACCTTCCAGGACATTCTGAGGAAGTTTGAGAATCAGGGGGCTCGCCTTGAAAAGCCTCTGGTTTCTGATCCCAGGCCTGCTTTGTGGAAGGCTCATCAGGAAAGGGCCTCTTCCATGAATAAGTTGGAGGATCCCTTAAGCCTTCCCGGGTCCCGGGGCAATAGTCCTGTAAGCGTGGAGGTCCCGGGGACGTTTATTTATGACCATGTCATAGCTCCTCAGTCCGAGAGAGCAGAATGGCACTGTTCACTGAGAGACCTGGACTTCTCCGACGTCGATATTTATTCAGGTCCTGCCGAGCCTCCCTCACCTCCTGACTCGCAGGCCTGCCAGGAAAGAGACTCAGGCTTGTATAAATAAGAGCCATGCGCTCGGGGAATAGGCACGGTTCAGCACCACAATCCTCTCGGAATCAGTGCCTCGGAAAACGTAAGGCCCTCACCACAGGATTCCAAAGACACCCCATGGCACCCAACACACGTGGACACGAAGGAAAACGAGGAGTTCGTGTTTGCGCTTGAGGAGGAGGATCCTAGGAAGGTTTTAAGTGGGGCACAATTGGTACCGTCCTGTGGTGCTGAACCTGCTCTTTGATGGGAAGAGACACGGGAGCACGTTCTCAAGACTGCTCCGAGTACGCGCCACCATTGCTCCAACAGCTTCCCACTCCAACCACCTCCCGACAACCACGCGAGCCCTTCCCTGACGGAGAGCGGGCTGCCGATGCTGAGAACAACCAGTTCCGGTTAGAAAATGATGCCTCTCACTTTTATGCCCAAAGGCAGACCCAGCCCCGTCAGCAGGGAGCTGGCTGTCTCTGTGAGGAACCCGTCCACTATGGCAAAGCGAAGGGTGTGCACCTTGATAAACCAAGATAAGGCAAGTGCTAGTTTGTAGGACGTGATGAAAGAGCGAGGTGGGCCTGCTGACAATTGTCGTGGACTCTGAAGAAAGGCCGCACAAGTTCTGGAGGCTGGTCACAAAATTAGAAAAGGTTCAGAGCCAGCCTAAATATTTTACATACACTTTGTTCAAAGGGGTACCCTTTCCTAAACTAAGTCTAGATTAAAAAATCAATTTTTGAAAAAAAGAAGTGCTGTAGCCTGTGACTCCACAAAAGAAAAAGGCCTTCCACCGTGACTTTGATTAGCCCTCTGGCGTAACTCTCTCCACCCTGCGCTCTCAGGGCTGTGTTCTTGCGGTTTTTCCTTCTATTTCTATGGCATTTCCTCCGTTTCCTGCCAACACGCCCTTTCTGCTGTCCTCTGAAGGTCAGTGTGTTGTCAGGCAGGGTTCTCTAGAGAAACAAAACCAGGACACTTGTGATTAGGCAGATAGAATAGGTTTATTCAGCAAGAAGGACTATAGTAGCCAATTAGTCCATACAGCGGTAGAGAGGGCTCAGTTCAACTCACTTTCACTTTCGTGGAACAGTTAATAAACTGGAAGTCCTTCAACTCACATGGGCTGCTGGGTCCAAGGTCAAGGAGACAGACGGGAGTCTTCCCTCAGTCAAGGCTGACAGTCTACTGGAAGGCAGCAGACAGCGGGTGGGTCAGCCACAGTCCGCAGCTCAGAAGCTTAGTGTGGCTGACCTGCCTCCCCACAACCCAGTGGGTCCAAGAGGTGGTTGTATAATTGAGGGGCAAATTAAAGAGACATCAGACAAGATCAAGCATGCAAGGGATCACCTCCTCGGTGATCACAACTTCAGGAGCCAGGTCTGAGCAGAAAGAGAGCGAGTAATGTAATCTCACGAGTTTATATAATCTCTGGCACCCAGGCCTTGGTAAGCACATACATAACAGGAAGGGGTTGTACAATGGGCATACATGTAACCTGAGGGGGACGAGCTAGGGGAGTACACGCATTAGGAAGGGGTTGTTCTAGGAATACACGTGACAGGAAGGCACATAAGTAACAAGAAGGGTGGATTCTAGAGTCAAGGTGGCAGCCTAACCTTGGTCATCTCTGAGCTGGCTTGACCTTAGGCATCTTTGAGCTCTTCTCCAGGGGAATGCTCCTTATCAGAAGGGAGTGGGCCCTACTTTGGATGGAATAGACAATAGGGGTCTTATTGCTTTTGATGGCAGATAGCCTTTAGGCAGATAGCCTTTAAGCAGTTGATCTTCAAGTGTATACAGCCGCAGCCATGTGCTTGCAAATAGTACTGGAAATTTAGCATTATTATGGGGGAGCATCATGGGGAATAACTCTTACTTAGGAGGAAGTGAGTGGGACACATCTCCAAACCACAAACAAGAAGGTTTCTTCAATGGGATCCTTGGCCTCCTGGATTCCTTAATGCATGAATGTTGAGAATTTGCTTGTATATACTTTCTTCCCGGTTTCCCACAGTTTATGAAATGAAGCAGGCCCTGATGGGGTCTCAAAATCAAGCGTGGCAAGAGGATCCACCGGCCTCAAGGTCAAGCAATGTGTGCACAAGCAGGATGGTGAAGCAGGTCTCAAAGGAGCCTCAAACACTAGTAACATGGTCCCATGGGTTAGCTTAGCCCATAGGTAGTGTAGCACACAGGTTGAGGCAGAGAACTAGCTAAAACAATAGCACAGTGGTTTGATAACCAGGGAGCAAGAGGGAGATGGGATGTCGCCTCTCAGTTATTTATTTCAGTCTTCCTCCAATCAAGCCGTGACTTGATTAAACACCGCCCACATGTTCCTATTGGCCTAGATGGCACAATAAACCTAACTATCACAGACTGCCACCCTTAAAGTTCCATGTCTTATCTTTTTTCAAGTCCCAGCTGTCATTAGCCTTGAACCTCACCTCAATGTTCAACTTCTTGCCTGGTAAATCGTATGATTTTCCCCACGTTCTGGACCCACATTCTCAACCCCCCAGTTGCCTGAATCCAGAGAGTTCCTTCTGACATCTCAAATGCACCATTCCCCCCAGAACACCCGCATTCTCTTTCCTGGTCACCTGCACTATCCCTTCCAGCTAAAACGTCTTGAGTTGCCGCCAGCTCTGTTCCTTAATTTCTCATATCTAACTAGCCTCTCAGCCCATGCAGTGTACGTTTCTGAATATCTAGCTAGACAGGAAAT